GCCTCACACTGCCCCCCTTCCACTTCACCCCACCTGCCCCGCCCACCCACGCTCCACCTTGTTCCACTCCTCCCTTCCTGGCCAGTCGATCCCGTCTGCCCGGCCCCACTAGGGATGCGACATCGGTATCGCTGTTTTCAAACCATCGATGTTGTTGTGGAAACATCGATGTTTTAAACATTGATAAATTAACACCGATGTTTTTACCATCGATGTTTTGTGATCGAAGTTTTTTTTTCTTTTCCGATGTTTTGTTCCTGAATGAAAAATTTTCATGGTACAGTTAGAGTTAAAATATGAGATAATAACAGATAGTAACATTTTTATTCATTTGTTAGTACCAAAGAAACGCTGTTTGCACCATCTTCATCAACCAAACTCTCTCGCCCGAGATAATCCCCACACTCTTGAATTTCCTCTTCACATTAATGTCGCACATTGAGATATGGTCAACAAATTCGCTATAGGCGTAGGTTCTGCCACTTCTCCTGGTACCGTTATTCGACGAATTGATAAGCACGAATACTGTCAAATTAAATTTTGTTCTCACGAAATTATTGTAAGAGGTTACTAAACCAGCATGAAAACATCGATGTTGCAAAACATGGATGATTTTTAGTCGATGTTTAATTAACATCCATGTTTTAATTTGTTTAATTAACACCCATTTGTTATTAATGCTGCATCACTAAAACCAGTCTCACCTCGTCCGTCCCGTCCCGCCCCGCCCTGCCCCGTGGAATATATCTGGTAAAATGGTCTACAAGGTATGCATGCAAGCTGACGTAGGTCGGCGCTGGATCTTGACGTCCAGCAGAAGATCACCGCCACCTTGCATGATAAAACATGCACTGCACTTACGGGACTAATGCATTATTTATTTATTTTTACTTTTTTTTAAAAAAAAATTACACGTCTTAGCACTTTACGCGTCCAGAATCACTAATCAATCAAACCTACTCTAACCGCCTCCGCCCTACTCCGCCGGACGCCGCCCAGCCCCGTTTCGTGCCGCACGGTCCCGTCCCGACCCTCCCCGTTCCCTCTGTAAGTATTTTTTCAAGCAACAAACGCGGATGGAAGATGGAACACACAAGTAATGTGCGTAAGTAATTAAAGAGAAATGTTTTAGAGATAGTTACAAAGGTGAAATGGGTTAAAACAAATCTGTATTTTGATTTTTAAAAAATCTGTGTTGAGGGGACTCAAGGATTTTTTATCGCTATCAAAATGTCAAATGTTTCAGCACCTTTCTTATTTTCACACATAAAATGTAATGTACTATATCCCGTTTTCTGAAATTGGCACTTTACGTTCTGATTATTCCGATTTTTACCCCAAGTTTTATGTATTATACACGCCTGGGAATAAGGAAGATACCTGACGAGCATGACGTATTCCTATTACCGTATCTAGCTTAATTGGTCTGCCTGAGCTTGTTCTT